TACAAAACAGAAAAGAGTGTGTACATAGAGGGTGTGGTTTAAAAAAAAAAAACTTATAGTCTTATATCAGTGGCATAAACAATCTGGGCTTTCTGGATTTTGCTGAGGCTTTTGATACTGTCCCTTGCAGTATCCTTCTGGACAAGTTGTCCAGCTGTGGGGTGAGTAGGTACACAGTGTGCTGGGACAAGATCTGGCTGAAGGGCAGGGCCCACAGGGTTGTGGTGAGTGGGGCTTCATCTGCCTGGCAACAATTCACCAGCAGCATTCCTCAGGGATCAGCTCTAGGACCAGTCTTGCTCCATATTTATCGATGTATCAATATTTATCAGTATCAGTTGTCTGGATGCAGGAGTTGAGGGCACCATTAGCAGGTTTGCTGACACCACCAAACTGGGAGATGCTGTTGACTGGCTTGAACGACAAGAGGCCTTGCAGAGAGATCTGGATAGATTGGAGCATTAGGCTACCATTAATGGGATGGGATTTATCAAGTACAAATGCTGGATTCTGTACCTGAGAAGGAGGAACACTGAGTACAAGTATAAACTGGGAGAGGAGTGGCTGGAGAGCAGCAGGGATCTGGAGATGTTGGTTGGCAGCAGCTCAGCAGAAGTCTGCAGTGTGCCCTGACAGCCCAGAGGTCAAATTCCATCCTGGGGTGCATCAAAAAGCGTCCCCAGATGATCAAAAGTGTATTTGACCACTGTATTCAGCTTTGGTGCAGCCTCACTTTGCTCACTGGGGGCAGTTCTGGGCCCCACAATTTAAGAAGGATGTGAAAGTACTTGAATGTATCCAGAGAAGGGCAAAATGCTGAGGAGAGGGCTGGAAACAATGTCCCATAGCAAGGAGGCTAAGTCATTGGCATTGTCTAGTGTAGAGAAAAGGAAGAAGGGGAAGTGAGAGGCAGGTGCTGATCTGTTCTCTTTGGTACTGAGTGATTGGACAGATGGGACAGGTTCAAAGCAGTGTCAGAGGAGATAAACCCTTACTTGACATTGCAAAGCATTTCTTTAATGAAAGGGTGGCCAAATACTGGAACAGGCTTTCTAAAGAGCTGGTCAGTGTCCCAAACCTGTCAGTATCCCAGAGGCATTTGGGACCTTCCCTAATAGTATAGACACTATCCCCAATAAAAGGTTTTAACTTCTGGTCATCCCTGAAAGCAGTCAGGCAGCAATGGTCATTGTAGGTCTCTTCCAACTGAAATATTCTATTCTATTCTATTCCAGCATATCCTAAAGATCTAAACCCCAAAAGCATCTGGTTTCCTTTCATGGGTTAGGTCAATACACTGACTGGCCAGAGCCACATTTTCTTTATCTGTGAAAAGAGGATAAAATTCCTTTCTGCTATGCTTTGTAGATTGTGACCAGTGTAATATGCCCTCATGGTAGGAGGTCAGTTGTGGTCAACTGAGGCTGCTTAAGTGCAGTTAATAAATAAATATAATACTGGGGGAAAGGGAGAGGAATATGGAAGACAGAATAAAAGAACAAAAGAAAGAAGGAAAAAGGAAGCCTATTGAAAAAGTCAAATAGGACAAAGACTTTAGATGCCAAGGGGACGTTAAGAAACACACACATGAAGAAAACACTAGGAAAAATATAGGGTAAAGAACTTAGAACAAGAGTATCTAAAGGGCAGAAAAATAGCAGAGCTTAGAAAAACATTTACTTTACAAAACTATTTGATAACAGAAAAAACAGTGGCTCTGTGATGAAACAATGAGCGCTCTGTGGCACACCATCCATTTTCCCCACGCAGGAAAAACAAGCTTCCTTCCCCTGTAATTGGTTGCATTCCTCTGTGATACAGCCATGCATCTTGGACCCTTCTGAGAGCTCCAGAGTGCAGAGACTCCCAGAGAGCTGAGTAGGTGAACCCAAAGCACTTGCAGAGAAGGGCTACTAAAGGAAGTTGCCCTGAGGGACTAACTTCAGCACTAATTAAAGTGTCTGTTAGCAGCCTTGTGGTTCCAGTCTCCCACAGGATGTCCAGAGATGACTTTCACAGCTTATTTCTGTGTATGTAGTGCAGCTAACACATCGCTCCTCATCCCCTGGAGCAAAGGCAATTACTTTTCTTCCTTTTTCCTCTCTATGGAAACTTCTGAAGTTGAATGGAGTCTAGGCTTTTGTTGATGTATTCTAATTCCTGTATCAGCCCAGATACTACTAACAAACATCAGCCAGCCATGACTGAAGTGACTGGGTTTGACTTTCATTCTTGACCTTTGTGTTGATGGTGACTCAGCTCATTCACCCTTCCTCATGCATGGAAAGCTCCATGCTGTGCTGAGAACAAGCACAGGGAGATGCTACCAGCTTGCCACCAGTTCCCAAGGTAGGGAATAGCCAAGGGTTTTGAGCTCAAAATACAGCTTGAGCTATAGGAAGAGCACTCAAAGATGGGAGAATAGGCAGGAGTTTTGAGGAACAGTGTGCTGGGAGAAATCTTCCATGCCTGACTGAAATTATTTACAAGTCTGGCATTGAATTATCTGTCTCAAAAGGATCCTATTGATTTTGATAGAAACCTGATGGTTATCCAGGGAAGTCAGGTTCAGGAGTTTTTATAGGGTTGTGTTTTGGTTTTTATTTTTTGGGGGTGGGGGAGGGAGATGAAGTTTGGTATTTGGAGGGAGGGAGAGCTGAGGAGAAGACAATGATTTATTAAAAATAATCCTGCTTTGCAGAAGAAAAGAAACCCTAGAGTATTTTCTAGTATTCCCCCTTTCTCATTATTTTTTTTTCTGCATTATTTTCAAAAAATTATATTAATGCTTTCCAACATGACTTCTGCTTTTATTTGCTTCATCTCATCCCACATGTCCTATACCTCTGTTAATTCACAAAAATTTCTTGATCCCACAACTACACATGTGGGACACATACAGAAGCTACACACATGTTTTGGGTCAGAAAAGGGATCCAGTGAGACAGTGGCTATAACAGGTTTCTTAAGGCAGAAGGCCAGCTGCACTCCACTGAGTATAAAGGTTCAGCAAAAATTACTTTGTTTTATCCCTGGGAATGGCTAATCAACAGCCTGGGAGCAAAGTCTGGGCCCTGACCTTTTACCAGGTCCTACAAGACTATGAGATGGAGTGATCAGGCCAGCTAATTTAGAAATACTGATATATGGAGTGGGGAAGGGTGAAGACTGAGTTTTGAAGGGTTTACCTAGTTTCTGCTGCACTGTGCAAACGCAACAGTATCTTGCTCCCTTCTACCAGTCTAAGAAGAAAAATGACACCCATGCATTAGGAAAGTGACTGTCCTCAATTTGTACAAACAATTACTAGAAGCAGTCCCATAAGCTAGGATACTCATGTACAGCATGCATGTGCTTTTTCGTGCAGAGCAAATACATAAAGGAATCATTCCTTACTTGACCTAGGGAAACACCACTCCCACTCTGCACACAATTACATCTTTTATGTTCTGCATGAAAGAATATACTGCAAATGAATCTTAGTACAAAGTTTAAATAAAGAATTGCCAAGTAATAATTAACTCAGTCTGTCATTTATTATGATTAGGCACTAAGGTAAGGTCAGTTTCCTTTAATGCTTTTCAAAGAATGTACTCATTTTAGAACAGGTATGACCAGTTACACAGACTTCTCAAAAGACATAGTGTTCTCCTCCTGGCTTAGTGATGCCCTGGGTATTCATTTCCATTGCCAGTTTTGACTTAATTAGCAATATCGCAGCCATGTTGACATGCTAAAAGCCCAGTCACACAGAAATGACCCAGCACTTTCACCTGTAACCTCTCCTGTGAGATTTAACTTCTGTGATGAAACACTCTTCACAGCAGGACAAGATATGCTATTGCAGTCCCAGTGTGAGGAATCTCAGGTTGCACTTTATTCCTAAGCTCTGTTAATGTGGGGGCTCTTTGGGCACAGGTGGTCAACCAGAAAACCAATAAAACAGACCTAAGTATGTACAGAGTATTTTGCTGTGTACTACAAAATATCTTACAATGGAAATACTTTTTGTTCTTAGTTCCTAGTCTGGATGGTGTTTTGAGAGCAAGCTGTGCATGTGCACAGTTCCACAAATCTATTAATGTTCTTCTATGCTAGTGGGCAGGATTTGTCTGGTGCTGAGATTCTGTTGTGGCACCCCAGTGCACTGCACATCACCTGCTAATGAAGTTTTATTTTGAGACTTTTGGGTTAGAGATAATGATAATCTCTCAAAGTTATTATTTACTGTTTATATTATAGTTGCACCTAGAAATCCCAAATGAAAGGATTCCATTTAATTAGGTATTTTGCAAACAATAATAAGAAAGAGTTCCTGCATCACAGATCTAACAGGGTTCTTATCGGACAGGATAAAAGCAGTGGATGAAAGAGATGAACAGGGTGGGAGTGGATTGGAAGGGCTGCTTTACAGTTGTAAAGCAAACAGACTTCACTACAGCTCACTACTTGCCTAACTGATGGGAGTGGTTCATGAGCATCCCAGCAGAAAAAGGTTTTGAGGAGGGATTTAGAGATGGATAAGGCATAAGGCTTTATAGATTTTGGCAAGGACTGGTTTCCACTGCCAGGCACTGCAGCGGGGAAAAGATTTAATACTTTTGCTTATCACTGAAAGGAGCACAACTGCTTAAGAAGTTGCTCTAGGTGACCATCCCTCACTTTAAAATTAATTAACTGCTATAATGGCTGGTGAAAGCTGATTTTTCTAATTGACTCAAGCCCATTTGACATCTATAAACTGGAAAACAGTTTTAATTTTCATCTCCTGTGAGTACATATAATTATATCCTCTCTTTGTTTTTTATCCTGAGGTTGATTGTGTTCCAGTAAGGCTCAAGTCCAGAGAGCATAACTGTATGTTGAAATGCAAATTGCACAATAACCATTGTCATAGAGACTTAAATGGAATATTATGAGATTTGTTATAATCTCATATGGCTTTAGAGGATATTTTAAACAAAAAAAAACCCAAAAAAACATTTTGTGAAATAGAAAGTATGACCACATTACACAAAAATCTCCAGCCTTTCCCATTGTTTCTTTCCCACTTACTTCTGTGCTTTCAGTGCAGGCAACCAGCGTTAAATACAATTATTTGGGAGTAAGTAAGAACATTTTATTCCCAAAGCTATCTGACTTATGTTGCATTAAAATAAATACCTAAATTTAAGTCAAGTTAGACCCTTAAGAATATAATACTTAGGATCTCCTAAAACTGACGTGTGTGCTATTGTCAGCTGCAATCCTTTCTTGCCCTCTGTGCCCCACTCACACTGGCTGCCCGGGGTCCCTGGGGGCTGCTCGAGGTTTGGCTGTGCATTCATTAGCTCCTCATCCCTGGCAGGGGCCTCTCTCTGCTGCCAGTCAGGAGCTTTCACTCAGTCACCCTTAACCACACACTTAAATCCAGACCAGATTTGTTGCTCCAGTTCCCTGTACTGGTGTAGCTCAGTAAATAATGAAGCGTGATGCTGGTCAAACTTTCAAGCAGGTGAGTCAAAAAATTTGTATGCAAATCTCTTCTCCCTTGCTCTTTAATTACATCTAATCTGTTTGTTTTGATTTCTGCCCCCTGTATTCCCTGCTGCTTAGCTTCTGTCATCAATCTGCAAGGCATTTTTCAATTGATTAATGACTTACCTATACAATATGCACCCATGCTAACTCCAGTCATTTTCTGCACCATGGGCTCATGCCCGAAGTTTGGTCACTTCCTAGCTTTCATGTGCTTACTAAGACAAATACTGACCCTTTGATGGACTAAAATAACCTGCTAAATCATCTCTAAATCACCCCTTGCTACCCAGTCAACCTCTCAAGCACCCCATTACTTTTGCTGCACAGTTCCAATAATTAAGTCTCCTATTTTTTTCTAGGCCTCAATCACATTGTTTTCACTGACACCTATAAAGTCGTATTTCAGGAAACAGGAAAATTAACCACAATCTCTATTTATTTACATCCACATAAAATAAATCCTAGCTAGAATTGTTAAAGCACCTGGCACAGATTTAAGAAACATAATTACAATATCATGGAATCAGTCAAAACACCAGCTGCTCTTTCTCTCCTGTATCTCTTCCATCAGCTACATATCATTCATTATTTAGTGAGAAGATTCAGTACAGATTAAAAGTCATCCTAAACCATATCTGTTATGCAATCATATCTTTACCTTGCTGCTATAGTTAAGCATCTCTTGGATAATCTTTGAAAAGTGGCTATGGGGAATAAGCAAACAAATAACTTCTAAAAACAAAGAATTAATGTTGTTTTCTAGCATGTAGCTTGGATCACTGCACCCATGGCACAATTCTGACACATCTATTGCTCAGAAACTACTTTAATACCATTTTGAGAAATGCATTGAAGAAGTCTACCCTTCTCACCATGTTGAAAAGCAAAGAATTAATCAAACACATAAGATCTAAAATAATTCCTACTATGTACTATTATCTGATAGATAGCAAAAAGTATTTTCAAAGGTCAATAGAGAGGTGGAATGCAGAATTAAATACTGATTAGTCAGGATAGCACTGGCAGTTGAAACAAGAGCAAGTTAACCACCTAGTCCTGTAAATAATTACTACTCCTGTAAATTTCGCATCTGTGGGTACAGCAAGAGAGGCACATGTTGAAAAAAATGGCCCATTTCAACATGCATGGATGAAAAAGAATTCAACTGCATTCTTCCAGATAGTCTGGCATGAATCAGCCTCTTCTTATGTAACAGCAGGTAGCCTTACAGCTTCACCTAGGAGACTTCCAGGCCAGCCGGGATATCCCTGCTGATCCAATCTGAATTTGCACTGGATTACATTTTGTCTGATACATGTTCAGAAATGCAGGGAAAACTCAAGATTTTAATTGTCATTAAATACAAAGGGATGTGTATTCTGTACAATCACTTTAGATGCTCTTCAGAGGGTGGGAGGCTGGAAAAGAATGCCCAGGTTAACATTTGTGCTGTCAGGATGGAAAATAGGCATGATGTGTTGTGTCAAAATATATACCTGAAAAACACAAATGTAATCCATAAACCTTAATAAATGCCTGATACACTAAATTAGATTAATACAGCCACTGTAGGTGATACTTAAAATCTGCTTTTTTGTGAAATATTGGATACATCCCACTACACCTACTCTTACTGTTTCTTTTATCAGAAAATAACTTACTCCACAGTGGGATTGGTTATGGTACTTACCTATAAAATACTTTCCAAACTGTCTAACCATTTTCTTCATCAACACTACATTTTTTTGTATTTTCTTCCCCTTTGCTGGTGCAAAAGGCTATGCAAACATTTCTCAGTAGCATTAATAAAACCTTGAAACCTTGATGCAACTAAAGATTGGAGTGCAAGAAAAGTCTCTCCACGCCATCAGTTGGACCATACACTCTGGGTCTCATCAAGAGACTGAGAAATGTCATTGATTGCTTGGATGGCTGTTTTATTTTCCCTCTATAGTTTAGCCACATCTCTACAAAATCCAGGATTCCCCTCCTCCCTTATTTAAGTCAGCTAAAAATTAATAAATATCTGTCAGCAAGCATTTCATCAAATAGCAATGAGAAGCTTTGGTATATCACAGGGCAAGAGATCATAGAACAGCCATTTGTCTATAATGTAGCCAGATTTTCCAAAGAGCTCAAGGATAATTTCTTCAAGTGCTCAGGATCCACCTCCATAGGCAAATTTTCAGAAGAGCTCAAAGCCATGTGTGCCACAAGTCTTTAAGAACATGGTGAGTTGATTTGGTTCTTAAGACAAAGCCAAGTTTTTGAAAATCCTATCCCCTTTGAAATATTTTTGCTAAAGGCTATTTCAGTATCCCTAAGTTATTATTTTGGATTCTATGCGTATCTGTACATCTCCACCAAAGAATCTTATTGTCAACCCAATATTTTGTTAAATGAAAAATAAACATATTGCTTTAGAATGTAACTCTTTCATTTTGTTATTTTTGAAACAGTTTCCTAGGCAGCCTTTGTATGAAATACGTCATCCTTGAGTTTTGGAAACTTTTTATCATAAAGACATATCATTTTTCCCTTGCAATAATTTATAAAGCAGGCATTCTATTTTGCTCCCTTTACAGATATATCTGTTCCTAAACTAATGCCTATTTTCCCCACTAAAATACTGTGCCTTTTATTTTTTAGTCAAATTATCCTGTCGGTGTCTGGGGGCACTACAACTATATTTTACAAAAACCTTAACTGCGAATAAAATATGGAGAAGAGCCTCAGAAAATAGTGCTGACTGCTGTAGTAAACCATAAGAAAATTCAAGAAACTGGAAGAAAAACAGATTGGAACTTGAAAAAGGGTCAAGTGGGAGATGCTACACTTACACAGATGTGTTCAACTCAACAAAAAGAGAACTGGAAATGACGATTTGAAAATAATTTTGAGTACATGGAGACAGGGAATCTACCAAAACCCAGGCCACACTTGAGTAAAGATCATGCTGCCACAACCAAAAAATGAGAGACTGACATCACCCTTGGATGTGTGAAGCAGAGCACAGCCTGACAGAAACATGAGATATCTGTTCTCAGTGTCTGTAAGACTTTAGATGGAATACTGAGCCTACGGAACTGATAATGCCATTTCAATAAATACGGCATCTCAAAGTGACATAGAGGAGAGCAAGAAGAGGCAGGGGTCTTCAAAAGACTGCAAGAGCCAGACCTAACTTTTTTTTATTTTAAAAAAAAGTTCAAATAAATGTGCACTACACTTACTGTTGCAAAAAGGATTGGTATTATCCGTTTATCAGTGACACATCCATCGGGGAGGAGCACAATTCCCAGGTGATAATCAAGTCTGCCAGAGCTCTGAGATGCAGCGATATATTTCAGGGAAGGAAACCAGTAGGTGACTTAATCATGCAGTGCCAATGGAGATTAAAAAGAGGAGGTTTGCACTAGTGAGATGGAGCAGGAAAAGGCTCAGTTCCTGTTCAGCAGTAGGAATGTGGAGAAAACAGAGGAGCACTGAGCAGGAATAGCAGTTTGGTGACAGAGCCTGTCGTGCACCAGGCTCTGAAAGCAAATCCCCTTAACAGACGTCACCAAGAGCATCTGATATCAATATCATGACAGGAAAGAAGGGTATTCCCTATAGGAAATTCCACTCTCCATACAAATAATTCAGAAAGACTGCACACTGTTACAACCACGGTCATGTAATGTGAAGTATTTTATTAGAAACTTATCGACATTTTACAAAATAACTTTCATAATTATAAGACAAAATTTAAAGTGTTTTAACACAAGCATTTTAAGATTTTAAGTATGCTTTGTTAAAATGTTACTGCAAAGGCTTTTTTTTCTCCCCAGGTTTAACATTTAAGCAAATTGTCAGTGGACTGGAAAGAAAGAGGGAAGGCAACTTGACAACATCCTGCTGACCCAAAACTGGAGAAGTCTGTTCTACCTTTCAAAGCTCTTGAGACACATTTTGACTGCTGTTTCTGCTCAAATATAAAATAAATCCTAGGAGACTACCAAGATTGGTTTCTGGCTGTGTGCAAAAGAAAAGTTATTTCAATGACAGAATGCAGTGTCCACACAGGTCACTGCGAAAGGCTGGGGAAAGTGTGGTTTTGAGGGCTTTTGGGACCCATCTGGGCAAACCTCCTACAACATTGTCTGCTTTCATAGTTTGCCATTCTCTGTGATGGAGGTCAGACCAGAGAACTCCTGGGATCCCTCCCCACCTTTGTGACTGGGCTAATTCTATGGATTCACCTTCCCTTGAGGTTACCAGCCTTGGAGGTGACTTCTAACTGGAAGAGAAGCCCATTTGCAAGAGGATGCTCGATGGGTCAGTGGGTACCACGAGGGCCCTGTCTGAGGTAAGTATTTCAGGAACAGCCATCTCTGCCCTCAGGTGTGTCCAGGCAGAGACTTGTCTGGACACAAGGCAGTGACCAGAGGCTGCCTTCAAGCTTGGAGGCTCTCCAAGGCCACAGCATCCATTGTGTACATAGACTTCAATGAAAGATTAAAAGAAATACTTGTGCAGTGCTTGGCTCAGAACACCCAGGAAGGAGAGGAGCTATCCTGAATTGCCTGTGGGAATTTATGACTAGGAGCAATGGGGGTAAAGTCAGGTAAAGAAAAACAGTTTGAACATCAGTAAAATTTCCTAACTGTGAGTGTTATTAGACTGGAATAATCTCCCCTAAGGGAAGCAATAAAACCAACATCATTTGCATCTTTGCAAACTAGACCAGACAAAGCACTGGGAAATATACTGTGGGGAATAATCCTGTAAAATGATTGCACTAATTTTTCTCATCTATTCTTTCTTCATAGGATTGCTTCATATGTGGACTATGCCATACTCTTTTTCCTGTTACTTTATTCCCTTTCCTGTGGGTTGAGTAAAAAAACCCTGAAGGAAATTATACCATTCTAACCAAAAAGTAACATATTAAGACAATTTGCATTTTTATTAAAAAAAGACATATTTTATCTTTAAAATATAACCAGTGATAGACACAAAAGGATAATCTCTAGGATAATGACACACTTCAGTACACTAGGCAATTAGGTTTGCCTTTAATTATTTATAGTTTGACATGCTGCTCATACAAATACTCTGTGTAACAGGAGGAAGTCAGTTTGACCTTAATTATTGCCTGTAAATAATTCCTGAATTGTAACTAAGTAGTGCCTTTTAAAATGTAATTATTATAATACCAGAGTTACAGACCTCATTGATTTATAATTACTTAATTGTTTATACCCATTAAACCACAGTTGTGATAGGTTCATCTTGCCTACATGCCCTAGCCTGGAAACTGAGGAGTTATGGCCAAGAACTCGGACTAATGTTATCTCCCACAGTTTAATGGCTGAAGAATCATTCCAGTCTGGACAGGGTTAGTGGGGGACAAGAGATGGCTGAGAGATCGTGGGCAATGAGCTGGGCATTTCAGTACATATCCTTCAGAATAACAGTGAGGGGAGAAAGAAATACAAAACATCCATACCTCTAGGGTCTCGAGCTCTCTCCAGGTAAATCAGACAAAAAGCTACTTCTTTGTGACTCTGATTGTACACTTTTGGGGTCAAAATGTATAGCGAGCTATTGGGCATAGTGTTAACTGTGCTGCTGGGAAACAGAAAACCCAAAAATGATGTGATTTTTTTTCTCCACATATCAACACAGGTTATCTAGCTGTTCACACATTTGTATGGAAGGCAGACTGTCACTTTGCTTCTTGTGACTTGCACTTTAACACTGTAAAAGCATTTCACAGAGAGAGTTCAAGCCACAGTGCTGTGACTCAACGCCAGCCAGCCACAGCCAGCCACTAAACCCCACACAGCTGCTGGAGTCCCTGTGTTATCAACAGTGTTTCCAGAACAAATCCAAACATAGCCCCATGTTGGCTGCTATGAAGACAATTAACTCTATCCCAGCCAAACCCAGCACACACACATGATCCTCCTGTCTTTCATACATTTGGTTCTTTGTGTGCCACTGTCTGGTGATCACCATCCAAATCACTCTGTTGTACTACATGTGTTTCTCTGAGAGGAAAATAAAAACAAAATAATATATAATATTGATAATGAAGCATTTCAAAGTAGTCAGCATGAAACACACTTAAATTGTAAACCTCATTCACCGGAGGAGCCGAAATGTCAGCACGTTTCTCAGATGTCAATGCTGAGAAAGTAAAGATCCACATTCTACTGAAAAGACCTACTATGTTTTGCTCTAAATGAGGTGGCATTTAGAAATAATCTGTGTAAATTTTAAAAGCATCAAAATTTTGATTTAGTTCAAGTAAGCCTTGGTTCAAATCTTTTGCTGTCTTACAGTGCAGTAAAATCCAGCAGCTAAGAAGTGTATGAATTCTGTGTGCTATAGAAGTAGACCCTAGAAGGAGTGTTAGAACTGTGATCTGAACAACTTAAATAATCATTCACAAAGCAGGTCTCAGGAGCAGGAGATTATATATGTTCTCAGTACTAATACATTTTTAATTAATTTCTTAGAAATGCAATGTATGAAAACCTGAGAAAACCTATTCTGTGTTAAAGAACACTTCTTAACAGAGGTTAAGAACCATTTTAAAAATTCCTTCTATTGATTTCTTTGGAGTATGCCCAAGACCATAAAACTGAGAACGAAGGTTTTTGTGCTAGCTGTGGATATACTTTAGGGGTTAAAGCAATTAACCCTTTAAGGATGGGTTCCAATCTCAGGCTTTTCTAGTCTGTACAGTGTGGAGGAAAAAAAAAAATACCAGCATGGTTCATCTCAATTTCTACACTCCTAAAAAAAGGAATATTAATCACATAGGTTCACCAGTCAGGTTACATCTAAATTCCCCATGGTAAATGAGACTAAAGAAATGCAAACTATTCTAGTGCTGTACAATCCAGATGTAGTGATAATGCCCTGCTTGTTATTACCAACATTCCACAGTAATTAGGGAATTGTGGAAGAATCCTAAATCTATAGAAAGAAAATCAGATTGCCTCAAAGTGTGGTCCTGTCCCATCATGTGACTGAAAGTGTAGGATTAAAGCAATCACTATCTCCGTGTTTCTTGTGCACTTTTTAGTTCATAATTGAAAGCAGTCTTTTTTCAACTGTCAGTTATGCAATTGCAACACAGGTTCTTGTCCTCCTGTGTACCCTCACCAGTCATCCAGGCTTTGCAGCCAAAGTTCTACCTGCAGAGACCTATTCCTGTCAGTCTGTCTGTGATATACCAACAATAGGCAAAGAACAACTTGCTTAAATGTAAGAGCTTCCCAAGTGTTGATTCACTTGAAAATATGAAAAGTTTCTCTTATTTATTCTGCTTCTTCAGATATAGCATGAAGAGAAACCATAAATTGGGAAGCCCTGCAGTTTGAGTATTTGAGTACATGCACAGTGGTACTTTAAAAACCACAGAGATTACTACTTGATACTAAAAAAACCCAAAAACCCCAATACATCAACACACAGGGACTGTAAGCACTCAGAAATAAAATTTTCCAGGTCCATAGTAAACACTTATACTGGGATAAGGTAAATGAGCAAAATCTCCCCCCAACAATTCCTAATAGAATTAATTTACTAATTCATTATATGAATTTTTTTTTTCCCATGTAAACTAAAGTGGCATAGCAGCGAGGCATTCTCCAGTTTTGTTATCAATCCCTGCTCCAACATTTAATGTATATCTAGGAATGTCTTTTTGCTTCTCTATCACCCTGCCTGACAAGGAGGAAACCTATCTTCTTCCTCACTCCACGTGCAGGCACTCAGGTGTAACATCCTGCACCTGCACCATCTGTATTGACTGGTAATGTGGAAAAACAACAAATACATTGAAACTGTCCTCTGATGATGGTCAGGCATGTCCTTAAAGAGCACTCTTCCATAGGAGGGAATCAGGCAGAGTGAGGGCTGAAGGGATGCCCGCAAGTGCAGACAGAACAGCCCGTAAGACCACGCCGTACAGTTCTAAGCTTGTACATCACATGTCCTAAAGAGATCTGTTCTTTCAAATTCACCTGCACAGGCTTGCTGTCTTCTCCTCCAGTACTGCATGAACTCACTCAAGTTTTCAAAAACTTTATCTATACATAAAAACAGCCTGTGCACAAAATGTTACCAAGAAAACAATTTGAATTATAATAGTACCAACAAGGTAGGGCTTTCATTTCTTTAAGCATTTGTGTGCATTAAAAAGGACAGCTGCTACATGAAAAAAAAGAGTGTGATCAAAGAATAAGATTAACCTTGATAATTGACAGTCTTACTTGAGGACTCCTAAAACCAAACAAAGAGACACCTCCCTCTATTTCACATCTCACTTTATCCTCTCACATGGGAGGTTCTGTAGGTATAATGCTCTTTTCACACAGGGCTTATTAGTACATGGTCTAGCACACTTTTTACCCTTTTCTAATTGAGATCTGTAAGTAGTGAAATACAGATTAAGTACACCTCTTTCCACCCAGAGCACTTTTCTGTCAGCTTGAGAGAGCACCAAGAACTGCCAAAACAGACACCTCGAATTAGCACAGAAGTCATCCATGCTGACATGTATAATGTAAGCAGTGTCCCACTTTTCCACCCACTGAATTCTTGTTGCTAATCTAATTAATACCCTCTGATTATTTCAGACGGTCACTTGACAAGTGACAGCAAAGATAAAAGGCTGGGGCATGTTGTGACATGTACCTGGGTTTATCTTCCCCATTTGTAGCACACTTTTCTTTGTGTATTTCTCTCCAACTCTATTGCCCTTGTTGCTGTTGACCTCTTGCAAACATGGCACTTCCCAGATTTTGGGAGCATTGAGACACAAAAAACCTGCTTGAGTTGGAAGGCAAATACATCCTTTGGTTTTCCTTACATTTTTCATTTATCACCTCTGTTCTCCTATGTGTCCCCTCCCTTTTTTGCATCCCTTTTCACCTCACCAAGACTACCTGGTCCTCTTTTTGCCTGCAGGTTTCTCTACAGCCCTGGCAAATGCATGCACCACCCTCTGGTACAGAGCTGGCCCAGAGGTGACAGTGAGGGCCATGCTGGGCTGGATCCACGGAGCAGGACAGCCCTCACCTCACCCTGGAGATCCTGCAGGATGAGTATTTGAAAATACAAGGGGTAAAGCAAACAAAGAGGATGCAGATTTGGTACAAAGTACGATATTTGCTTGTTACATGTTTGGCCATGTTCATGCATTCTGGGAACAAAAAAGAGGCACTGAAGGGGCAGGATGGTGGCTCCTTTGCCAAGCACAATGAGGATATATTTTCTCCTCCTCATTATCCTACTCCTTCAGCTCAGACCAAGGCTAAAAAAGCCATGAACAACCATGGTGAAACAACAAGGGAAACTACTGGGGTTTTTGGACATGAGATGATTTGGAATTTTTATTTAGCATTGATGTCTTTTCTGTAAAAAGAGAAGATGCACATACACACACACAAAAGAGGTCTCTTTCCAAGAGAAATGATATAGCAAAACTCTGATTGTAATGCAAGAATTAAAGTTAAGTATTATGTGTATATGTGATAGATCTCAGAGAAGAGGATCTTTTGTGCCATCCTGTTAGAGGGGAAACAAGAAAAGCTGCACAGAGACAAGAACTCAGGAGCAAACAAGAGTGTCTCTGCAGAATGGATCAGCTCTTGGAAAACCGAGGGGTGAGTGGATCAGAGTACTTTGAATGCAAACGTGGTGCTTGTCAACCTTTTATATCCACTCTTCTTACACTCCTTACAATTGACTCATCTGCATTCAGAAAGCACTGCCCACATAACTAACATTGCTCTCATAAAATATCTGGCTCCAATTCTATTTTACTCAGCTGGAAAAAAACTAGGAAATTGTGGAGACTTCCCTAAAAGTTAAGTAAGGTCCACTAAATGAGTGCAGAGAATAAATCCACATTTTATGTTTTTTTAACCTGAATTTCTCGTGGCAAGGAAACAGACATACTATGACTAATAAGGTTTTTTATGAAAACATAGCCCTTGTATTATAAAAAGTTCTCTCCTTAGTTAAAGAGGAATAGTATAGCTGTGTATTTTATTTTATGCAAACTCTACTAGAGTAGAGCAGAATTCCTTAACAAAAAGGCTCAAGAGTTAAACTGTACCAAGCCCAACACTTTACAAAGGCCTCGTTATCTTGGAACAATTTAACATGCTGCTGGAAATAAATACAAAAATTTCATTCAGTCAGATAGAAAAATAAAGCCAGGGGCCCTGAATTCTTTATCAGCATAGGTCTTTTACCAGCTCAAAAACCTCCCCTCATTATTTGCTCCATGCCATTTTCTCTTTAGGAAGTCACTAGAGGGCATCATCACCTACTCAATCCTGCCTGCAGACCAGGTCAGACCTATCATACCCTAGAAGCGACGCTGCTCTCTGGACTGCCTCCTGCAGAGCTCTGAAAACTCAGATTCCACTTGTTCCCATGGCCTTAGCAGAGGAGGTCCTGCAGGGGCACGATGAAAATGGCCTACTTTGAGTTACAGCAGAGAAGAGAATTCTTAAAAATGGCACTACTGAACAGACCTGCCCATCAACTTCCTTCACTTCTATGTGGGATTATTTGTGAAAGTACTCACATATCAACTTTTCCAAACTGCCCTGACCATTTGGAAAGACAAAGTGCTGAACAGAACATGAGAAGATGAGTAGCTTTGTTAGACCCAGGGCAGGAATCATCTCCCACAGATTCACCATGGATGTGTCTACTGTGCAGCACTCCTAACACAACCCAGCTCCCAGACTTCCACGAGGGCTCTCAGAGTGAACACGAGAGTTGAATGATCTGGGTGTTGCATGAACTGAAAACACAGGGGAGAAGGTCCATCAGCCCCATTCTTTATTTATCCTTTTCTCTCTTTTCCTGTGCTTCCTAAAAAATCCTGTGGTGTATCATCTCCACAGCTTTGAATTTTTAACCATAAACACAACCCTTACTGTCCCAGGATCCTTTAAAACATCACTGCTTGGACTGCTTTCCTAGTGGCAAAGCATGCACATGCAACCCGGGAGTCAGGGAGATTTTGATCCCTTGAATCTTATTACAGACAGTGCTTCACACACACAAATTCACACCAGGGTGAAACTCAGGCACAGGCTGCCCCCTGCTTATCATCCCCATGTCCCAGTGCCACATCTGGGGTGTGGTGTGGGTGTGACAGGGCCACGGGACTCGTGTTCCCCTCTCTGTGCACAGGGATGGCACAGGGAGCACCTGCTGCTCCGCTAGGTGCAGGGCAGAAGTCAGTGTGAGACCTCACTGCTGGCGTTTTCCAAATTAATCTCTTTTGTGGGTGAAAAGCTGTAGTATCTTGAGTAAGGTCTTTATCTGTCAAAGGACTTGGAAGGAATATCCATTTTTTCAGGAAATTATGGAGCTCAGAGAAACTGCGGGCTAGAGATGCATTGTCTTATGGCACGCAAAATACACCTGTCTCACCAGGGTCTTCCAAGAGCAGCTTTGGACCACCTCCAAAGCCTGGAGCAGTGCAAAAAGCACCTGAATTTCCAGTGTGGGAAACACCTGTTACACAGGAAACAGGTCCATAGGTCATAAAGAGTGTGTTGCATTTTGATTTTCTCCTGGGATTTTCCCTTCAAAGGGTGGGTACATGGAGCTGTTCTATCCATGCTGACTCCCAAGTGCATGCTTCAGTCTGGAGGGAATAAACAAGAAGTAGGTGAACAAAACCCCTGCCCTGAACTATCAGCCATGGTGTACCTGGCACAGTGTGCAAGAGAGCAGCTTTATCAACTTGTTTACCAAAATAGATCGAATGTTGGAAGTACAAGAGGAACTGGAGGGGACACTGATGTCTATCACTAAAATTGTGGAGGAGCAGTACTGTAAAAGGCAGGTAAGCAGGTAGGTAGGGGTGAAAAGAAGAATGGGAAAACATTGGAACCACATCCCAATTAAAGAGGTAAAACATTCAAACTGAGGCACAAATGAGCTCATCAGCTTCATTGTCCAAGGCTTGGAAAATATAACACAATTGTGTTAGAAGAATCAATAAACTGCACTCAAGTGGGGCCACAGTTTTGGGTGTCAGAAACTTCAAAACTGATTAAATACCTCTGTGAATATTTCATGTAACTTTCCAGGATGAAAATTATCAATGTTTTCATGGAATATTGTTGATTTTTTAAAGAAAATTTTCAAGAAAAGAAATCACAGTAGAGTAAAAACTTACTGTTTTTTCTATATGTACCAAAAGGCAAAAGTTTCTGTGAACTGGAAAGAGTGGCTCCTACCTTTCTGTGTACAGACAAGGGGAAGACACTTGGTGAGTGTTCTTCACTAAAGCAGAGGCACAGTCTCAGTCATTCTAACAGAAACCCACCCATTCCCAGACCCACAGTGCTTACTCACAAGCCAGCATTTAGATATGCAAATAACAACATATTGTTATCAGCAGTTTGTCCAATAATATTTCCTTTGTTTCATCGAAAAGGCGTATCAGTTTTGTGCAGTTGGCAGTGAATATGCAAAGAGGAATTTGAAAAAGCAAGACCAGCCAGAACAGCAGCCTCTGCCAGTCGGATTGCAGGCATCGCTGATGTCAGACCATGCATCAGAAGGTTAGGGTGCTAATGACTTGTTGATGTGTTTGACATTATGCAGCTATCTCTGAGCTGGTATTTTTCACAGCAAGTGTTGTTTTTATGGATGTTTCCCTATTACTCATGAGCTGGAAGTTTCAAGGGAAAATGTTAAAAACAAGGTAAAAGCTCAAGTGGACAGGGAAAAAAGAGAGAGAGAGAAAGCTTGTCTGAACCCTCACATTACTTAGTCCAAAACACAGAAATGTGAAATACCATGTCCTTGGTCACAAGCCTGTTAAAAAAATCAGAAATACTGCACTGAAACTCATCTTCTCAGCTACATTAATAGAAGCACTGAATTGTTTGGGACCTTTAAATGTCATCTAGACCAGCTCCTTGCAATGAACAGGGAAGAGTAATTTGTTTATATTCATGTAAACATAATCAGCTGCAGTCCTTGAAAAGAAGTTAAAACATATTCAAAAGAGAGGAGAGAATTTGAAGGAATAGATCTAACTAAATTATCATCCTGGAATAATCCGACTAGTTTATCTTCTTTGGGGTTGTTGGCTTTTTTTGTCTGTCTTTCCTTTGGAGATTTGCAAGACAATTTTTAGGGCCTAATTAACTTCTTGCATGAAGATGAAATCCTTTCATTTTGGAGAATTAATCACATTTAATCTGCAGACACTAACCATTATAACAAATCTGTCTGTCCACTGTAACAGCAGGATTATGAAAAAATAAATGGAAAGTGACATTCACATTAGCCTGAGAGTGTTTTTGGCAGTCATCAACAGGCTTTTCTAGTTACTATGACTTTAACCCATCATCACTTTTTCATTACAAGTACCGGAGCAGTGGAGTAGGTTTGGCTGCCAAGTGGCTTTTTCAGTCATTTATTATGGCAGTAATGTTTATGTTTGAAATTATCAAGCCCATTCTGAGTGAATTGCTGTCTCAAACACGGAGTTTCACACTGTGAGCTAGAGACCAGCTGTGTGGGGTGGTTTTAGAGCCAATGCACTTCAGGAGGAGTGCAGAGTCGATTGCAAACGGAGGAATCATGAAGGCATTTTGGGCTGCATATCCAAAGAACTTTGTTCCAGGAGTGAAAGTGCTGGGAAAAACGTTCTCACAAGGGACTTTGCATAGAATAAAAATGTGTGTGTCTGTATGAGAAGGCAACTGAGCAAGAACACCATTGCAGTGAAATACGTCTAAGAAAGGGGGGCAGGGGGTGAATGGAGGAAGGTGGAGGGGGGAAGAACAAGTTCTCTGTAGATAAAAGGATTAAGAACTATGGAAAATATTTCCATAACCATGCCAAAGAAAAAGAGAGACATTGTTGTATTTTGCACTTCAGCCAGAAGTGCAATCAGTGCTTTGCAGAATACATGCAGAAATATGGCTGCCTAGGAGAGTATGTGTTCTGGGGTGATTCATATCAGCTAAATAAAGGTAATTAAAGATATAAAGGACTGAAGCAGTAAAAACAGGACTGAGCTATTTAACCAAGTGTGACAGCTTTGCATGACTGATTATTCATGAACTACTCCTAGGTAGTTAAGAAACATAAAATGTGATTCATTATCTCTAAAAAGAAAACAAGCTATTTATTAAGAAATCCAACTTTATGGTGCTCCTAAAACTACCATAAATATTTGAATTTCTGTCTATAAAGCTTCTGAAAAACACGAATAACCTATTCACCCATTCACATAAGGCAGACATGTACACATACATCTATTTCTTAGCTGGCAGTTAGCAGGTAGGCATGAATATATTCAATGCAAATGCATATCCCAAACGCCTTATGCAATTAGTTATTATTTCTACCTAGTTCTTACCATGTATTTTTATGGAGATCAACTCTATCAACTAAGGAATGCTAAATCAGCAGGCCTTTATAAAAGAGAAATGATCCACCATATTATCCTCTGATCAGGCTGAAAGCTCTACTCTTCTCAGGTTTGTAATTGTGTAGTACACTAAATTACGATCATAAAATGTATTAAAAAACTCTTCATTAACTCTTCATATGCAGTAATTTCAGCTCATTTACTTCATTAGTTAGCTGCTAATACTGAGTGCATTGAAAGCACATGTGTGTGAGGGGGTTGATGTGAGAGCCACTACAACACTATGAATTATCAGCTCATTGCACAGCACCTAGAAAATCCCTAATTACAGCTCACAAGCTCATAATGAACCAAACATATATAATTCTATGGAATTATCTGTTAACAAAAAGATGCTTACACTAATTCTTGTTTATTCATCTGGGCATCACAGCAGGATAAGAGATAAGTGCTCATTTACATGTCATTTGGGCTTTCTGTTCTTTGTTTGTTTGGAGTTTTTTTTGGTTTTTTTTTTTTAAGTTTTCCCCACACTTTCTGCTGCTAAGCATGATTATTTCTCTGGGCTTGTTGGTTTTTTCCTGTTTTAACTGATGAGGTACAGTATCTAAATATATATTATAAGGAGTTATGCTTATTAAAAGCATGCTTTATTATGAGCCTGCTTTAAATTAAACATAAAACAAACACCAGGAAATTGCTATCAAAGGTATTTGCCATAAAATAATGTTGCTTGACTATTGAGTGCTGTAACTGGATATTGCTACAGTTGCCAGTGTGTTTGCAGCTGAAATACTTAGGTATTATGTGGAAGGGATTTTCCTGGCATGTGCACCTCAATCAAACAGTAGATTTCACAGGCTAGCTTGAAACAGCTTTCCTTTCAGGGTAAAATAATGGCACAGCTTCTTCTGGATCCCCTTTGGAATCACTGTGTTTTAGCGAGGTTTTCCTTCATCCTATGCTACTCATATTGTATCGAAAAAGAAAAATAAGATATTTTATAAATGCACCAAAAAAAACCCAATCCTATCTCTAAACCCCCTTCATATTGATTTCTACAGTTGTTTTCCACCTCATTTTCTGCTTCAGTATTTCATTAATAATTTATAGTAATATTTCTAACATCCTTGGGTTTGTTCTAGTTTGATTATAACTACAAAGTTTCCAAACTAAACAAAACAAAAGATTATATTAAAAAATACCTTATATCACGTGAATACGGAAATTACTTTCAAAAATGGAGTGGCCCTTTACAAGGTTGCTGCCGTGCCTGACTGCACTGCAGCCTTACTTTTACTTTTCCTTGCCACCAATTAATACCTGCAGCTAAAAGAAAAGGACAGATTTTGCAAAGACTCTGCAATGTGATGTTCAGCTTTCTCTCCTTTCACTGGCCAAAGCTTTATTTTTCTTACTATAGCCTGAGGATAAATAGTCATAATAACCCCATATATTCTCATTTTCCTCATGGAAATTTTGTGGAATTTAATGCCTAACCTTTCTGCTAAAACTTTAAAACGCCTATGCAGCTCTGCTACAGCAATATCCTTCTTTAAGGATCACTAGGGTGAATTACAACATCCTACGGAAAAAAAAAAATCTATTTATGAATGACTTGAAAATATTTTTACTGGACTTTGTTCAAGATGACTTATCCAC